GGAGCACAAGGGCAGGCGCTGATCTCCAAAGAAAAAGAGAAGGTTATTTTTTATTTGGAATACAAGAGACTCAAGAGTTTTTTTTTCCTTCAGAAATTTGAATAAAAAGGGCACACGTTGTATTTGAACGCGCGCATGTTCTTTTCGAAATGCTCTTCTAGTCGAGAAAAGTGGACCCACACCGTTTCAATTTTGAAATGTTAAAAAGTAAAGGACTGTGGCCTCCTCGACCTCCCACGCCGTTTCAATTTTGAAATGTCCAACTCAAGGACGGCGACCTCCTCAGCCTCCTACGGGCAGCTACTTGTCCTTCGTATGCCCCTCCCTTTGCCATACCCTTACCTCAAAATTGCCCACCCTCCCAAAGGACCACCGATGTTGAAAGTTGAATTGACGTTGAAGGTTTCAAGAGCATAAGATGCAACCCTGACGGGCTGCGAACTCGGGGGTATAAAACGCACCCGTGATGGGCTGCGAAGTGGTTGTAGAACACCAAAGCTAGGTAAGGGTTGGAGTACCATTATGCCTACAACTACACGTTCCGTTGCATACTAAGTGGACGACACTGCCTCAACACAACGGCTATCCTCGGTTGGCGTCAATCGAGCCAACATAATACAGTTTGGAACTGATTTTGGGACCCAGTCACCCAGGCATTTGAGATTCCACATCACAACCACTCACCTACTTCATCTAAGGCCTATGTGCATCTCAATTTCTTACAATATTGTCGATCTACGTACAACAGGCATCCAACAGCATCAACGGTTTCAGTGACTCGATGTGACACTCACCCAAGCTGAAGCATGGCCTCACTGGTTCGGTCGGTCCCACTGCCCTGCCCTGCGACAATATAAGTCGCAGGCGCCTGACCGGCCACTATAACTTGTGAGCATTCCCGAGCTGCGCCCTCCAGAGACTCGACCGCTCACAGCTTTCATTGCAAACGCAAACCTGCCTGCACGCCACACAACGGTCACGGTCACGTCCTACAGAGGTTGACTCCTTCTCCTCGCCTTCTTTCGCCAGCATCCCGAACACGCARGAACCCGAACGGGCCCGCCGAAAGAGGCGCGTGCTCAAGGTCCTCGACTGCCGTGRCGGCCACCCGTGGGGGGTTTCAATCGCTCCCCGCCGCAATGCCGGTCACAGCAGCCCATGCTGGCTGGCACCCCACGTCCAACAAGGGGGGCGACAACACAGTCGCCGTCCACCCCTGCCCAGACGGGAG